AAATCCATCTGTAAACAGCCGAGAAATGCTGGATTTTTAGGATTTTTCAGCACAAAAATGGACGCCATTCGGCCATCTTAAATCAGATCGTAAAACAACATGTTGTGCATCAAGGTCCTATAATGTCCAACGTATATACAAGGTTTGAACAAAATCCATCTATAAACAGCTGGGAAATGCTTGATTTTGATGATTTTTAGCACAAAAATGGCCGCCATTCGACCATCTTAAATCAGATCGTGAAACAAATTGACGTGCATATGTATAATATCATGTGTGATGCATGTGTGAAGTTTGATTGTGATTGGTCCAGGCATTTCTAAGATACAGGTCCGGACGCACACACAGACGCACACACGCACGCACATACAGAGGTCAAAACATAAGTCCCCGTTTTCGGACAGCGTCCGAACGGGGACTAAAAAGAAAACTACCGTTTCTGCTTTAATATTTATTTTTATAGACTTGCTGACTGTTATGATTCTGAAAAAAAATCAGCGGTGAACGCGCTGCCCTGAAGGCAGAGCGCTGTCACAGCTATTTTGCGTTCACCCCTTGTTTTACGCAATTAACAATTTTTATAAGTATCACGACAGACTTCAAGAAAGTCAACTGTTAATACAACCACAGTCAACGAATAGAAAATAGTTTTTTTTGTTTTTTAATTTTGTGTAGAAAAAGACCCCCTGGGCGTGTGCCCGAATATGATCTCAACTTCTTTATTGTGTCAAAAGTGGGGGGTGGGCGTTTGTCCGGGCATGGGCTCTTACCCGGATAAGTACGGTATTATGATATTAAACAGGTTTAAATTCACAGATTTTACTGTGAGACAATGAGTTCTATTGTAATTTTAATGTGGATATAATTTACCAGATTTTACTTATCATCAAAAAATAGCGATATTAATTCCCACTTTACAGTACTAGAACCATGAAATGGTACATACCTCTTCTTGTTGTGTCATCAAAGAAAGACAATGCGACAATGCAGTATTCATCGCTCTTGAACTTTCCACCATTTGAAATAGTTTGGGTTTCATGTTCAGCATAGAGTAAGACCCTAGAATAAATAATGATAGTGACAATTACATGTACCGGTAATTACAAATTTAAAATTGCCTTTTAACATTTTGTCAAGTCAACTTTTGTCACCAATCACAAATTTTAAACCAAGATAACTTTGTAATTATTCACAAATTTTCACCAATAGGAAATTACATCCACTTGGTTCAAAATTATCAAAAACATTTTAAAAAATACATAAAAACCGGCAAAATGTTCCACCAATCTTTTGTTAAGAAAAATTATGATGCTCAAAGTTGGGATGACAGAAAATTTTACTGTATTGAGACATGAAAATGAGCAACAGCAATTTCAGGAATGGTGCTTGACTGAGACATTTAATGCATTCATTTTTTCGCACCAACATTCTGGTGCATTATTTTTTTATATTTAATTCTAACTTTTTGGTAACTTCTTTGTTAATTTACAGCCAAGTAGAGATAATTTCCAATTGACTACTAGTTGACTACTAGTTTGGATCAAAATTTTGAAAAAAATATTGAATAAATTATGCAGATTTATAGATGAAAGGTGACAAAAAGTTTACTTTAGTGTCAAAAGGGTTGAATCTGGAATTATTATTTTACTACTTTTATGTCTAGACAGTCGGGAGAACTGATTGTTTTTATTCAATGCATCATAATGTATGGATTTCAAAACTTTAGTTTACATATTGTCAGCATTTTATATGTTTCATGATTGTGCTGAACAACCTTACTCTTGCTATGTCAGTTCTATTTTTAGTAAGTAAATGTCACAGGCATTATTGGAAGTATGCCTTTACCTAATACTGTTTTTTTTTACATTTCAATCCCAAGGATTGAACCAAGTGCTCATGGGTAATTTCAATTCAAAAAAATGTAAACTAATGCTTCTTTTTCTCCTGTCTATTGTTTCCAAAAATCAACAATTAGTTGAATAAAATACAAATATAATTATTTAACAACAACCAATAAACAAAAGGCACACTTTGCTCTGTTGGGACATTGGCATCAAACACTGCATGGCCTGTTTTTCAGTCATGGTTTTAAAAAATTAATACTCCCAGACTGTATCCATCATCAATTTCAATGATACAGTCCTTGTTCAGTTTCAGTTTTTTAGTGACTGTGTCAATCAGCCCAGAAATGCCTGAGAAACATGCGAGACAAAAGTATGGGACAAAAATGGCCACCAGTCGGCCAAATGTCATCTAAGTACAAAACAAATTGATGTGTTAGGCATACCATTATGTCTTGTCTTTGTATCTACTTTCATCAACAAAAGTAGTCAACTATATAATGGACAACAGAAAATTGTCTTGTAACAGTATACATTAGTATATAACAATTAGTGTGAATTGATATAATATGCACAGGAAAACATGTCAAAAGTATGGTTATTGAAGAGCATTCTATAAAACAATACAGCTGGTTAGTCAGGAGATTATGAATCCAATGGGCCATTCCAGTTTATATCTGCACCCCCCCCCCC